AATTTTGCAATTATGAATTCAATAATTTTTGCAAAGAATGTGGCATAGTAAGACATAGAACAGTTACTTATACCCCTCAACAAAATGTTATAGCTGAAAGGATGAATAGAACCTTGTTGAATAAAGTGAGATGTATGCTTCTGAGTTCTGGTCTACCTAAACTATTTTGGGGTAAAGTAGTAAAAACTGCTGCATATTTAGCCCTTGTTTGAGCTCCATTTTTGCCAAGAAAATGCATTTTTGAATAGTGTAATGATGTGAAATGTGTGGTTAAAAAATAAGAAAAAATTTTAGATTTTCGTGTAATATTATTTTATTAAAGAATGTGTGGTTGAAATATTGTCAAAACACTGTTTAAAAATGTATTTTTTTCAAAAAAATGGAGCTCAAACAAGGGCTTAGTTAATAGAATTCCAACAAGTGCTCTGAATTATGATATTTATGAATCTGTATGGTCTAGAAATCCTGTTGATTATTCACATTTAAATTTTTTTTGTATGTGCTGTATATGCCCATCAAAATATTGGAAAATTGGAACCTATATCTCTTAAGTGTGTTTTTCTAGGCTATGGTGAAAATGTAAAAGTGTACAGATTATGGCTTTGCAATGAAAAGGGCTATAAATTAATTGTTAGAAGAGATGTAGTTTTTAATGAATCTATTATGCCATGTTTAGAAGGAAAGGAGAATAATCTGACTAAAAAAGATGTTCAGATTGAGGTGGAGAAATTTCATAGTGAAACTGATTCTCATGTTCCTACCTTAACTGAACTTGATCAAAATGAAAATAGCATCACAGCTAAAATTGAAAACAATCAATCATCTAATATTGATGAACAAACTGATTTTGCAAATCCTCCCCTAAATGAATATCAGTTAACTAGAGATAAAGAGACAAGGCAAATTAGAATACCTGCTAGATTTGATTGTGATGATTTTGTTTCACTGTTTACCTATCAAGAACAATTTGAAAATGAACCAAGCTCTTATGATGATGCCATTAATTGCAAAGATGCTAAAAATTGGATAGCAGCAATGAATGATGAAATTTCATTTCTTTTTAAGAATAATACTTGGGAATTGGTAAAGAGACCTAAGAATCAAAAGTTGATCAAATGTAAATGGATTTACAAGATAAAAGAAGGAGAGGGAGGAAACAAAAGTGTAAGATACAAAGCAAGATTAGTTGTTAAGGGTTTTACACAGAAAGATGGTGTAGATTACAATGAAATCTTTTCCCTTATTATTAAGTACACCACAATCAGATGTATTCTTGCCCTTATTGTTCAGTTTAAGTGGGAACTGGATCAATTAGATGTTAAAACTGCTTTCTTGTATGGTGACTTAGATGAAAAAATTTATACGAAACAACTTGTTGATTTTATAAAAGGTGATTCTGAAAAAGTTGTATGTCTTTTAAAGAAATCTTTGCATGTTTAAAATAAGCCCCACAGCAACGGTACAAAAGATTTGACACCTTTGTACTAAAACTTGGCTTTCAAAAAAGCAACTATGACATATGCCTTTGCAGCAGAGGTAATGGAGGTAAAAACTCTTTATACTTAGTACTTTATGTAGATGATATGTTACTTGCCAGCCGTGATAAGTCTAAGATTGAGTTTATTAAACAGAAACTTAAATCTGAAGTTGATATGAAGGATTTAGGAGTTGCCAAAAAGATTCTCGGTATGTAGATTTTTAGAGATAAAAAAAAATATATTGTTCTTAAATCAACATGATTGTGTGAATAAAATTTTAAAAAGGTTTAATATGCTTGATTGTAAATCTGTTACTTTATCTTTAGCAAATCATTTCAAGCTTTCTTCTGATTTCTGCCCTAAAGCTGTTGAAGAATATGATAGAATGTTGAATGTACCTTATACTAATGTGATTGGATCTGTGATGTATTTGATGGTATGCACAAGACCTGATCTTACATTCAGCATTTGTATACTTAGCAGATTTATAAGTAATCATGGAGAAGAACATTGGAATGCTTTGAAATGGCTTTTAAGATACTTGAAAGGGACATCTAACTATGGTTTCATGTTTAAGTTAGATAAAGAAGGGGCAACTTTAAAGGGATTTACTGATTCAAATTTTGCTGGAAATATGGATAAAAGGAAATTAACTTCATCCTATTTCTTTACCATATGTGATATTGTGATTAGTTGGAAATCTCAACTTCAAAAGATTGTAGCTTTATCATCTACTGAAACAGTATATATTGCTGCTTCTGATACTTTTAAAGAAGGAATTTGGCTAAGTGAATTACTAAAGGAACTTGGTTTAGTTGATAAAAATGCAACTTTATATTCAGATAACCAAAGTACCATACCTCTAAGTAAAAACCTCATGTATCATGATAGAACTAAACACATAGATGTCAAATATCATTTTATAAGGGATATAATTTCAAAAGGAATTTTGAAAATTGGGAAGGTTGCTATTCAGGTTAATCCTTCTGATATGGGGACTAAGATAATACCTTTAAATAAGTTTAAAAATTGTCTGAAGATATTATCTATTAATACATTGTAATTTTTTTCAGGTGCTTTTGGAGCGTATGAAACAAGAGAATGTGATATGCTCCTAGCTGCACTATGACCTGAAAACTATGGTAGCAAGGTGGAGATTGTAGTGAGTCAAACCCGGTTCTTTGTGCTCCCATAATTTTCAGCTAATATGGAAATGCGATTTTATAAAGTGATATTTACACTGGATGCTGACACTTGGCACATCATGAACCGTTGGATGAGTCAATTGGTCTTGGTGATATAAATACACTTGGAGGGTTCGTTTGACCTCAGATTTTCTTCTGCCTTTTCATTTCGAGAGAGTTCACCTTCTCTGAGTGGCTAGGGTTTTTTGATTCGCCATTATTTTTGAACATCTCATTCAAAATGATATTTTTGAGAGTTTAGTCTCGAATACATGTGATTTCTGGAGTGAAATCTGTAATAGTTGTGAGAACTAGTATTATGGGTTTATGAAGTCAGATTTGAAGTTTCTTGTGTGATTCGAGCTAGATCTGTTTATTCTTTGTGAAGCGATAAATCTCTTATATTGTATTCTGGTATTGGATAAACGTTTGTAACCTTCGTTGCCAGTTTAAGGCATTATAGTGCGACCGAGCAATATTCATTCTTAAATGGATGCTCAACAAGGGATTAAGGGTCCGTTTAATTACAAAGATGGAATTGAATTGAATTGAAAACGAATTTTAGGGAATTGAATTGCCTATAAATTATTTTCCTGTGAATTGTAAATTTTTATGTTTGATTGGTATAATTTTTCACGTGGAAAATATTAAAATAAAAGTATTTTGTGGTGTTCGTTTTGTTTTGTTTTACATGAAAATTATCAATTAAATGGATAGATTTTACTGGTATTGGAAATGAAATTTGTTTCCATTGCCAACAAAAAAATAAAAAAAATCATCTATCTTTTGGTATTCGTTTGGTGTTGTTTTACATGAAAATTGTTAATTTAAGGAATATCATCTTTTATAATTGTTCCTAAAATTTGTTTCAATTGCAAATAAAAAAAAAAAAGTTGGAATTGCAATTCCCACCATTTTTGGTGGGAATTGCTTTTCATCAAAAAGCGAGAAAATGCTTATGTGGCATGGGTTTATGGAAAATTTCTACCATCAAACATGTCAAAAAGTGAGAAATGAAATTTAATTTCCATTTTCCATGAAAAATGGAGGTATATCAAACATGGCCTAAGTGTTAAAAGGGTCATCGAACCTATGGGGCTTCGGCCGAAAAATTCCTCTGTGTTCAGTTTTACTTTTCTGTAAGTCTTGATTTGTCTATTATTAATCGATCCTTAGTATCCTGTGTTTAATATCATGTTTGGGCTTTTCAAAGGGATATGCCACTCTTAACAATACAGTGCAGAAATTAATATGCTGCTGCAAATAATGATAAATAGCTTGAGTGGATATCTCCAAAAAGTACCCTCGAGAAATCCAAATCCAGAAAAATTTGTGACCTTAAGTAAAAGAGAAATGCTACATGCACCACCGGTTTACAAAAATTATATGTGGTAATATCTCACAGCATCTTTGACAAAAGACTAATCAGCCGTTAAAATGCTACCATTTCATAATCTATAAAGCTATATGTACAATTCATATGTACAAACAGCTTTTTTATAAGTAAAATATGTAAAGAGATAAGAAAATGTACAAAGGAATTTACCTTAGAATACATGATTAACACAGTTGAATAAATCGTCAACTCGTTATAAAACTTCATCTTGGGCCATTGGTGTTACATTTTCTCCTACCAACAGAGTAGAAACTACAGTAGCACATGAAGATTATTGCGTCGACCTCTGCCACAAAACTATTACTTAGAACTATTTCTATGCTCTTTTAATATTAGAAGGCGTATACAAATTGTGCTTACTACTGATAAATTCTGTCAACTCCTCTATCCCAACAAATATAGCATAGCACGTTAAGTTTCAACGGCCATGGAATCTACACCCAGCATTGTACTGCACTCTTTCCGGGGCATAAAAAAGTGATATTTTTCACTTTTCTTCGATGGGTTGCAAAAAGTGGGATTACCTACTGGATCGGGAGTGGACTTACTATCCTTAATGGTGAACGAGAGTTTTGGATCGTGAATGGCCTTGGACAATTTTTTGCTTCTGGAAAGCATGAGAACCGGTAGATCCCCTCCGGCTGAGCATAGATATTCCCCCTGATGCTACGCGTCGTCGTCTTGTGGCATCATCAACATATAGAAGATCATCAATCCTAGCCATTAAGTTGAAGGCTAAGCTCTCCATCACCCTGGAGTAGCTTTCAAGGATTGACTGCCCAACATCCTACATGAAAATGCAGTAACCTTCTTATAAAAGGCGAGCCATTGGAAACTTACATGGCAGAATTAACAGAATATATTCAACTAACCTATACATTTGCACCTGAAGAATGATTTTTATTTCCATCTTAAAATCCTCTAATTTCCGGTAGCCAAAGAGTCGTAGGAAAGAAAGGGAGCCAGGAATAAGTTTTTCTTGTGAGAATTCCTTGTATTTTACAAGATTTCTCCACATACTCATAAGTTAGTGTTACTATCGGACAAAATAATTGCAGCAATTTACTATTTAGTCAAAAAATTTGGCTTTACTTGTTGCTTCAAGATATTTTGCCACATTGTTTCATACTTTCATCATCTTTATCAAGTAATGTCAATAGACAGATATCTAGATTACAGAGTTCAGCAAATGGACTGAGTGCACTTAAAGATTAGCCGACCCAGATCAGCACTTCAAAAAATTAGTTGCAATTAAGTAGTTTTAGCAAAGATGGGTGTAATAATGTCACATTTGTATTTAAGGATAAATTTTGAAATTGATGCATTACACATATGTTGACTTCGAAATCCAGCAAAGGATTTAAATCAGGAGTTGAAATGTATCAATTCCACATAAATTCAGATGAGGTTAAGAGTGTAATTACTTTCAATAGATACCTATTATGGCAGAATATCAGATACATTACAAAAGACTCAAAATGCTTGATGCAGATGTTAAGGATTTTAAATTTGTCAGCCCAAGGCCCCAACCATACAAAATGTTTTGGTCCCAAAAAGGAAGTTTTCCGCCTTCAAGATAGAGCAAAGGGTATTTCACTGCCATTATGTTCTTATTCCCCAACTCAATCAGTGTCTCCCTACGAGCTTCTGGAGGTGTTGCTCCAGAATATATTGACGATATTAAACTTCGAAGTTCAAATGCCCAACTCTGAGCAGGCCCCAGTAAATTACAGGAAAATAAAGTAGAATTTTTAATCATACCTTGTTGAACTGAATCTTGTTCATATCCAAAGCAGTTTGTGGGAGGCCAGGAAAGTACAACTTTAAGTTCTTTAGGAGGGTGTCAGCTCGATTTGCAAACAGTTTACTCTTTTCAATATCACCACCAAGGCCCTTTACTGTTCCACTCCATGACCCAGTTTTTGCACGGTTCAATTTCTTCTTTTGAGATTTCAACCTCCAAAAGTGTACAGCACTCTCAATCCTATTTGCTATGTCCAGAGTGGTATATTCTGACGAAAGATCCAGGTAATCAAGAAAATATTCAGGAGAGAATTGGTCAGCAGTTATATAACGGTGGAGGATGTCACCCAAGCAAGCCTTTTCACTCTGAAGAATAAGAAACATAGATACATAAAAAACACATACCATAAGAATTGAAATGATGAGAACTAAACCAAAATGCGATCTAAATGGACAATTAACCAGTAGCCATGAACTAAAAAGTAATACATGACCTAAGAGAAAATGTTTCATTGTCTATAAACTGCATGGCTCAACTTGACGGTAGTCCTACATGTAGTGAAATGGCTGATTGATAGAGAAATCAAATTCGCAACCACCTTTGTTGTAGACAATACATGACCTTGAAGAGTATATTCTTCGGATACAAGTCATACTATAAGACATTTTAGACATGAATAATGATCGAACTGTTACAGTACCCCTTTTAACTTCATTTCCATCCCTTATCCTAACCAAGCATAGGCATCAACAGCCACAAAACTACGTAATTAGAGTAAGGGAAATACTATTAAAGCCTTTCGTAAAATTATGAATCCTCAAAATTTAAATCCCAACAGATTTCAAAATGAAAACAGGATTGACAGAATGTGAGCAACTAAAATAATAAAGTAAGATAAAACAGAGGACGCATGTTGTTATCCCAACCTTTTTGTTTCATAAACTAGAAAGCAGCCTGACAGATTGACTCAGAAGTGCAGCTTGTTAGACTTTCAGCTCAAGAAAATCCTCACAAGCATGGTAGGGAACTGGTTTTGTAGAATTAAGCAAGCAAAAGTAGATTTGAGCAAATTCATCCTGGACATTCACATAAGGGTTCTTCAACTAACTCCGGAAATAGATTAAGCCCAGTGGCAGATTAATAAATAAAGCATGAATTTTTGTTTATGTCTTCTGGAAGTTGATATGATTCTACTGAAGAGCTAAAAATTGTAATTTAGAAAATTAATCCCATCAAGCAGAACAAGGCCTTTTGGTTTTGAACTCTTAAGGATAGATCCCACATCTTTTAAATAAAACGCGTTAACCAACATATAAAGACTTGGACGACTCCTCATAAAAATGTTGATTTTTGAAGATGGAACCTAAGTTAGATACCATTAAGCACGAACAAGCTATTCGATCCAATTAAGACTCAAACAAGCATACAAATTCCAACATTGGTGTTCACAAATGAGCCACATCTTATAGGGATACATGAAGGGATTAATCTAATGTTGCTTAGATTTAAAAGCCTCTTGAGAAGGTCGACCTTTTAAGATGGAACATCAAGTCTTAATATCAACACCCAAATAAAAGGCACCCAAGGCAGGAGAACATGATCATGATAATGACATCCCAAATAAAACGCACAAAACAATTGTGGTTTGATGTATCTCAGGATCTAAGTTTGACACTGGACAGAGTTGCAACTTGAAAGAGGACATCAAATATCCATTATGATATTGGTTAATCACATTTGGACTTTACAGAGTAGTACAGAAAACTCTTACCTTAGGCAAGCTCTCCAAATAAACTTGTGGTACTTCCATCTCTAACAGCACACTGCTGTTAATTGCAACTGCAGCTTTGAAAATTTGATTTGTGCACTCCCTGCATTGTTGCAGTTGCTTTCTTGTTTCCTCAGACAAACCATTCAGCGGGACCTTTGGGAAAGGCAGCCACCATTTTTCTTCAAGAGATATGGAAGGCCTCCGTGAGAATTGGGAACAAGGATGTGCTTCAATGTGTTCACCATCAGCAACACCTATCCCACGCTCAACATAGTAAAACTCGGTGTTACAAAACCCATCCAAGATGCTTATTAGCATTGCATCTAATTTCTTGAGGGCTGGAAGATTCACATATAAATCAGATCGTTGTTGAGTCATCATAACCTCGAAGGTCCCGCCACCTGGAATTTCTTGCACTGCTGGAATGAGCTCCACAATGGAATCACTCACGCATAAAAGCCAATCCATCTCTCGTTTCCACATCGACTTTTTCTGCAGGGACAAGGGCTCCAACTTCCAGAGCTCCCCAAACACAGTAGCTGTCAATTTGTTGTAGAAGTTAATAAATGTAATTATTAGACCGCAATATTATTGGTCTAACTAGAACATGAACCAAAAGAAGAAAGGAAAGTGTTTGTGAAGAACCAGCAAGATTAGTAATCGCATTGGAGATTGCCAGAGCAGTGCATACTCCCCTTCCTCCACCTGACATATCTTCTCCTAGCAACAGCTTAGAAAACCTTTCCTTCATCAATTCAGTTTCTGCAATCACACAAGCAATGTCCAGAAGAAAATATAGGAATCAGCAAGGACAAATACAAAATAAAAATATTAGAAAAATAGAACTGATAAATCACTCAGGCTTAGCAGCAGCAAGGAATATGAGATCGCTTGACTTTCAACTCAACACCCCTGTTAATAATAATAATAATCTAGTCTTCCAATGTTTTGTAAAAAAAAAATCTCTGATTCACTTATTTACTGAACAAGGCAATAAATGAAGTCGGAATATCTATTTGATCATTGCCTTTGTTCACAGAAAATCATTGCCTTACTAAAATGAATACTGAAATATCGTTTCTGATACATATTTTTGAACTATTTGACCGTGACAGTTAGATATTTCAGAGATGTTCGCTCTAAAAAGGGCTGAAAACATATCATCATGTGGTCATTGTAATTAATAATGTGTTTGCTGATAATCACGTACTCCATTGGTAAACTGTCATCAAAGTGTCATTTTTTGAAGTCAAACAATAATCTCATTACCTTGAAGAAAATCACAATGTGTATTCAGTTAAAATTGCTACTAAGAAAATTAATGGACTTGCAAACCTAAATAATTCGGCATAAAATACTTTGAAATTGAGACAAAGGGACCAATAACTCACCGGATAATTCAAGTCCATCGGGTTTATCACTCTGCGACTTTGATGCCGGAAGAATGACGTGTCTGCCTCCAACTACCGGGAGCATTACCCGCGGAGCGGCCAGAAACACAGAATTTGAAGTCGATTCAAGCGGAGAAGACGTCACCGTAGTCGAAACCAACCGAGGATCTGAAGAAAAAGTGCTTGTACTCGAAGACGAGCTCTCCGACTCGCTGACGTCAGCACTCAAGCTATAACTGTCATCAAATCGCCGAGATTGTAATTCTTCGTACTCATCTTCCGATGAAATCGCACTAGTAGCCATTCAAAAATGATCACTCACAAAAAACCACTCAATACTCTGAAAAATTGAATCGTAATTATCCAAGTTCAGTGCTTCAACGGTATGATGAAAAGCGTGTGTGGAGATGCTATGATTGAAAGTGAAGGAAAGTGGGGAAAATAAAGTAAAAGTGGATATATAAAGCAGAGTGAGAATAGGTTGACAGTACTTGAATTCAATATATTATTTGGTATCTAAGCAATGAGGCAGCTTTTGTACAGTGATTGGAGTAATAAAAGTTGGTATGCAGCAGAGCACGGTGGCCCCACCGTCACATGGTGGAGGCCACTGGCCGCCTTTTTTCTCCGACCTTCCGACAATTTTTCGCGCCATAGACGGTAGACGACTGGAAATAATCTCTCTTTCTCTGTTTTGTGTGTTTGTTCAGGATTCAATTAAAACAGGGGCTAATTTAAAACGATCAATTAATTAACTGCTTAAGCCCGTGTTTGACAAAGCTTTTTGAATTATAAGTTGGTACAAAAATAGATAAAAGTTGTTAAACCTGTGAAACGTGCAATAAAAAATAAAGTTCAATTAACTTATAATCTTAGAAAATTTCATCAAACATCACCTAAATAAGTTACTTGCAAATACGTTTGGAGTGTTTTTACGTACTTATAAGTTGTAAATCTTATTAAAATAACAAACGGTATTGAACTTTCACAGCATCAATTTTCTCTTTCGTCTTTTACCCTAGAACTACTGTCACCGATCTTTCTCAATTTCTAAATTTTCATTGACTGACATTTAGCCTTCATTTGATAGCAATTTTTCAATCCAAAAAATCAATTTTTTTTATCGTTATTTCACTATTTCAATTTTTATTTTTTACTTCTTCACTCACAGGTGAGATCCACTTTCCTCTTTAAAAGTCAAAAAATCAATTCTCATAATCACTACCGAACAGGTCCTTAAGCTTTTGTTTAACAAATTTACAAAAAGTAATAGTGGTGGATTCCACAAATATGTTGATAATAATAAGCAATAGTTACGAATATATAGTTACGATTAATATTTGACTGATTTATAAATTTTATCCAAATAGAAATTAAATTTGACAAAAATCGGAATTTACATGCCTAAGATTCGACTCAGACAGTAACTTTAGGCACGACAATAAAGAATTCTATTGTTTGGTGGGTCTTCACATAAATTGAAATAAAAGCTCATAGCCGAATAGGCATCTGATAATTAAATAACAATTACTAACGTTGGTAAGAAATTAGTGCGACCTTTAATACTTAAAGAGATTATTGATAAATGAAAATGACCTGTTTAAGAAGTTGAATTATAGTGCACTTTGACAGGGCCGTTTGGTGCAAATTAAATAAAAATGTAAATGCTCATAAATAAAGTTGGTCTCTTCTTACATTTGATTTTAGTATAGTTGTTAAGTTGGGGGATACCTTTTAAATATTGCTATCAATTTAGTGCCCAAGGAAACCAACATAATTGACATGGCATGTTGCCCCCGGGGCATAGTCCAGTGGTACAAAGGACGTGAGTAAGGTTATCTCACGCCTTGCTGACAGCCGTAGTGTACAAGTTCGATTTCTGAGACATGGAATTGGACTCTTTATAGTCGTAGTGTACAGACAGCTCTTGTTCCCTGACCTGTTGAGGCACATCCAGCGATTTACCTCCCTCACAAAGCTCTAGGGACGGGACGGTAAGAACCCTCAAGGTTGGAGTTCAACTTTTGATGAACATTTTTTAAAAAAAAAATAAAAATAAATAAAAGTTGACGTTTTTCATTTGATAATATGAAACCTGAATACGTAGAACAAGTTCTAGTTAATGAGTTCAAATGCCGTGATATTAATAAGCAATCTTTTAGCGTTAACAAGCTAAGATGTCAATTAACTTGTTAATTTAATTAATGTGTCACTTACGAGACTGGTTGCTCGCGATTTAACGATATTTGAACTCTTTAATCATTGTAAAGATAAAAAAATTTACTATGAAAGTTGTTTCAATAATGAAAAAACATAAATATTATTGTTTTATGGTTTTGTAAATGATAGAGTCAATTTTAATAGTGAAAGAACAAACTCAATTCAAAAAAAGAATGGAAACAAGGTAGGGGGGAAGACCGTCACTCCTTAAGATTAGTCAGGCAAAACTCGGACACCTGAGTCATCAAAAAAAAAAAAAAAATAGCAAGGAAACAAGGTCTTCATCTCAAGACAGAAGCACGAAGTGGCCAAGTTTAAATCTGGAAGGAGTCCATCTTCACATCTGTCACATCAAGTTGCAATATCTCTGCTCTGCATCCGAGAATCGAACCAATACTACAATACATAAAAAAGACTGTGAAAAGGCAAGAATTCATAAATAGGGTTACAATTAATCTACTTGTACAAAGTAGGTAGACAATGTTTGTTGATGAAATAGGTGCTGTCAAGATCTAGGCAGTGGATTTGTTTTGATTTCAAAATCTGGTTTTGAAATGAGTAACATATATCTTGTCAACTTATGTTTTGTCAACCTCCTTTGTACACAGCATCACTGGTATGTTTAAAGGACATTGCAAATTGCTTCAGTCCACAACCCAAAACACGAATAGAGAGGCTTGAACAGAAAATGTAAACATTTTTTACCAAAATAGGGTCAAAAAATGAAAAAGCTATCATCTAAGCAAAACCAACTTTCGACAAACTACATAGGTTTCAGGATATCTTTTATTAACCCAAAAAAAAAAAAAAGAACAAGAAGAAGAAAAAAAAGAAACCATAAAGCAAAGAAAATCCATAGATGAAAATAAGAATTGGGCCCCGTAAATCTTATTGTGTAATGTGCCTGTCTTTATGGAGAAGTTGATGGAAATCGTGTTTTATTACCTAGGATGTGTGCGTCCAAGATCCCCGTGAACAAATTCCTTGATGTATGTTCCAGCCTGGTCAAGAAACAGTCGTCAATATGAACAGTCACCCCAAGATTTAAAAAGAGAAAATTGTAGGTTTTCAATTAAATTCTAAAAGAGTGGAGTGAGATGGAGCCTTCCAGGTCCCCCAGCTCTTGAAAATATGGGCCTGTAAGGCTCAAGAAACACCGGTTCCGACTAGCCAAATTAGTGTTGTCAAGCTCAGAACAAATTAGGTGCAGCACCCAGGAAGAGATTTATCAAAATATAGATATACAAACAATTTTATCGACAATGCTATAACCCATGTCATCTGCTGCTTCAAATGCCAAAACACCCTCCTCCCATTGATAAAAAGAAGAAAAAAAAATGAAAAAATGAAAGAGGAATCTTTTTCACTTTTAAATTTTAGCATCATCTCATACAATTCAAGATTGGGATCTAAGAAAGCATGGTAGTGCATCAAAAGGCAAGTAATTTGCAGGTTGCACCACAA